ATAGTAGTAGTACATATCATTTTCTTGTTCATAAATTTGTTTAAAACATACATGAAGGCCATATAATAGAATCGAAAAATGCATATTTTTCGAAGATATCTTTTTATGCAAAGACAACGAAAATGTACATTTGAATAAAAGAACTTATGAAACTATAAATTGTATTTCAAATGATAAAAGGACTAAAACATCCACTTCGTTTGGTCTTGATTTTCTAGCCTACATGATAAAAAAAATGATCCAAAGATATTCAATGAAGCAATGTCTACATTCGAAGCACCGCATTGGAAAGAAAATATCAATAGTGAGATAGATTCTGTAATTAAAAATCATACTTGGGAGTTGGTTAATTTACCACAAGGAATAAGCCTTTAGGGTGTAAATAAATTTTCGAGAAGAAATTAAAACTAGATGGAACCATTAATAAATATAAGGCTAGATTTCTTGTCAAATGATATAAACGAAAGGAAATATTCGACTTCTTTGAAACCAATTCATCTGTGACTAGAATCAATTCGATAAGGTTGTTAATTGCAATTGCTATATTATATAACTTTAAGATTCATCAAATGGACGTGAAAAATGGCATTTGTGAATTGTGAGTTAGAAGATGAAATATATATGAAACAATCTGAATGATTCATTGCTCCTAATCAAAAACAAAAGTTTTGTGAACTCTTTAAATTCCTATATGGATTGAAACAAGCTCCTAGACAATGGTATCAAAACTTTGACAAAACAATATTGTTAAATGGACTTAAAATTAACGAGTGTGAAGAGTATGTATACATAAAACAGACACTAAAGGCCTATGTAATTGTATGTTTATATTTTGACAACATGTTGATTATGGGTAATGGTCATAAAATAATCATACACACCAAGAAAATGTTAACGAAAATTTTTTTAGATGAAAGGCATAGGTGTGGCTGATGTGATAGTAGTGATTAAAATCTCTAGAACATTTGAAAGAATAGTACTTTTCCAATCTCATTATATTGAGAGTATGTTTAAGAGATAATGTAATTAAGGAAAGTTATGTGAAAACCTCTATTGTTAAATCTAACTTAGGAAAAAATATGGGTAAACTAGTGTCACTACTAAAGTACTCACATTACTAACTGCACTCGATCAGATATAGCATTTTCTATGAATAAATTTAGTAGATTATGAGCAATCCAAGTTATGATCATTGGAAGGTACTGACTAGGGTTCTTTGGTATTTAAAACATACCTTAACATTTGTATTACACTTCATAAAATATTTAACGATATTGAAAGGATATTGTGGTGTGAATGGATATCCGACATGAAGAATTCTAAGTCTACTAATGGTTATGTATTTACCACTGATAGGGCTGGTGTGTCATGGAAATCTACAAAGCAAACTTGTATAGCTTGATCAAAGATGAAATCAGAGTTTATTGCTTTGGATAAAGTGAATGAAGAAGCATAATGATTTCGTAACTTTTTGGAAGATATTCCTCGTTGACCTAAGCCAGTATCTGCAATAAGTATATATTGTGATATTCAATCATCTATTGGAAGTGCACAAAACAACTTGTATAATGGTAAGTTTAAACATATACGTCGTAGACACAATACCATTAAACAACTGATCTCAAATGGTATTATCTACATAGATTATGTGAAATCCAAGGAGAACATTGTGGATCCATTTACAAAATGCTTACCAAGAGATTAAATATGTTGCATATCAAAAGAAATGAGATTAAAGCCTACTACGTTAGAGTCTTTGTAATGGTAACCCTACCTTATTGACTGAAGATCCCAAAATTTTGGTTCAATGAGACAACTAAGTTATGAAAATTCCATGAAATACTTAGGAAATAATTCATACTCATTCTTGTGATATTTAAAGTACTTTTTACAGAATGTTAAAAGATTAAAATAAGCTTTTGGTGATTCCTATATCTTGATTAAATCAAATGATGGTAGAATACTCTTAATAAGATATCACCTATATAAGTGTGAAGTATGACCGCTTCGATGAGAATTATTTGAGGCTAAAATTCTCTAAACATTTATAAAATCCAAATATGTTTCAGGACAAAAATGAACACAATCATGAGAACTAGAACAGTTTAGGAAAAATATTTGTGTAAGTACTGTTGGCTTAGTTTACATCAACGACTGAATGGTTCAAGACATTGCATTTACCAATTAGTTAAGGAAATCCGATAGTATTTTACTAAGGAATGTTCAAGGCCGGAAGCTCCTCTCCTAATATATTGTTTTTCCGATTTCCCTCTAAAAACATCTGCATATCATTTGCATATTAGGAATTTCCATTCATGTGGAGAATTGTTGGAATT